GGGATCAGACAATCCGGCCTGCCAAGCTCAATGAATCGCAATGAACCTACCCGAATCTGGCATCTGAGGTCGGCGCTTGATCCGAAGATAACACCGACTAGTGAGCGGGTCTGTTCGGCGGACAACCGGAGCTGCTCCGTCATCCGCCTCGCGCTATCCTTTGCCACTACTCTTCTTCGACTTGCTTGCACTTGATGTTTTCCTATCATCTTGCCTGAAACCGCACGGTGCGATGCTCGAATCAATCCAGATGCCCGGATTCCGCAGCACGAAGCCACCCGCGGTGCTGTGTGATGGACTCGGTGCCGCCAAGATTGTAAGTGCCTTATCGACTCAACATCCTTGTTCAGAACATGAGTGTTTGTGAGATGGAGAGAGAGATGAAATATGGCTTTCCGGGATGGTAAAATGAATATGGACTGGAGAAATGCGTAGTGACACTTTCCAGGCAATCACATCTTCCGCCCACAAGCTGTTTCGGTCATGGATTCTCGTCCCGATTGGCATTCTCGTCAACTTGGCCGCTTGCTTCGGGGTTGACTCATTGCTTCGAAAAGTCAATGTTTCGTTCCCAGCATCGGTGTTCTGCTTAGTGCTCCTCTTCGTCGGTCTCATCATTTCGGAAGTAACCCTTGGCAGCCACCGAACGAGGCGGCTCATATCTGTCATTGATATTTCGGTAGGTATCCGTCGTTCCTGCGCGAATGAGGCGGCACTAAGTGACTTTTGAACAATGCAGGCTGGATGGTCTCTGCAATGGATCAGTGTATTCTTCACGCCTTCGTTCGTGCTTCTAGCATTGAGCCCGCCAATTGGAATCGCTGAGGTCTTGAAAATCATCGCCGTCTTCTGTAAGATGCTCCCGTAGCCTCTGTTGTAGCCAGCTGGCTAATCATGAATGATTTAGTGATTGGCTTCTTCATTATGATGGCCATGGCAGCATACCTCACCAGAGCTGTCCAGCTTCTCCTTGGTTCATCAAAGAGAGGTCACACCCAGCGAGCTGAGGACCTAAGTGATGGGATTGTTCTGGCGGACAACAGCGCGGCGCTGTCCGGGCACTCAGGGCCACCGAGCCTTTCCCATTATACGGCACCATCAGTAGAAGAAGATATCGAGTCGCCAATCCCGTCCCGGCCACAGACACCGCCACAGATGCGTCTTCAGGGCCATCACCATGGCGAGCATGTCGCTCCGGAACATGCTTTCGATGCCCTCATTCCTACCCATAACCAGACTCCTGTGCCAACACCCAGGCCTGAGCGTTGGGCTGCGCTTCTGGTATCCCACATGGACTTCACCACCTTCGGGCTGTTGTTTCTATTCGTGGGAATCCCCGTGTACTATTCCACGGGCTACGCCATGCCTCTCCACCTGACCATCAACGTTCTCGCCTACTTTGCCGCCATGTCTCTCCCGTCGCGTTGGAAGACCTACCTCCATCCCGTCCTCGTCTCCTCTCTCATTACGGTCCTCGTTGTCTGGGCCTTCACCGCCACCGCCGGATCTTCCCTCACTTCGGCCCTGCACCAATACCGAACGGGCGCCAAGTACATCCAGCTCTGGCGCCAGGCATCTCGCCCCTCAGGGCAGGCCGCTCTTCTGCCGGGCGCCGGCGACATGTTCTCGACTCTCCTCGACGCCAGCATCACGGCCCTCGCCCTCCCCATGTTCCAGCACCGTCGAGAGCTACGCGCCCACTGGGCCGCCCTCATCATCCCAAACGTCTCCATCTCCATCGCCTCCCTGTTCGCTTATCCGCCGCTCTGCTACGCCATCGGCATCACCGCCCAGCGCAGCCTCGCCTTTGCAAGCCGAAGCCTGACGCTCGCGCTAGCGACGCCTGCTACGGAGAACTTGGGCGGTGATGTTAATACCGCGGCGGCGCTGGCTATCATCAGTGGCATCCTTGGTGTTGTCTCCGCGCCTTGGTTCTTGAGATTGCTGGGAATTCCCGAAGGTAAGTTTGCCCTACTTGTCTTTCTTTCGGGGGAATCGACGGAAGTCAAAACCATCCCTTTCAATTTCGGTCAAATTGTGGAGTTTTGTAGGAATTTCGCTGACGTGTCAACCATTTTTTATGAAACTGCAGACGAGTACGTCGCAAGAGGCATCACACTCGGCGTCAACTCGAGCGCCATTGCGACAGCTCTCCTCCTCCGCACCGATCCAAGAGCGGCAGCCCTCTCCAGCCTTTCCATGATTTTGTTCGGAACGGTAACTGTCCTCTTCACATCCATTCCGCCCATCGCAACCGTGGTTCGGGCAATGGTAGGACTTGGTGCTCTGTAAGGGGGTTGACGAAGGTTTTTGGTAATCGATTTTATATAGACATAGATAATATGAACACTAGGCTTCGCATGATAGTGTGTTCCACCACACCAAGAAATACGATATAGGACCCATGAAGCCTTCAATTTTTTTTTTTAAAAATAAAGATGTACTGGTACACAACAACAGTTTATTTATTATTGATGGATTAAATAAAAAATAAAAAAAGAAGGGTCTGGCCGGGGATTGAACCCGGGACCTCTCGCAAGAATGCTTAGTTTCCCTAAGCGAGAATCATACCGCTAGACCACCAGACCTTGGTGTTCCTGTCAAGGGAACCCCTGGAGGGTGGATCCCTCAGTGTTGTTGGTGCTTTCTTAAACAGGTATATAAGTCCCTCACTAAAATCCACCATTACGACTTACCTTCTTATCCTTTCAAGTCATGCTCGGTTATTAGCTGTGTTGGCACTGATACCTGAAATACAGACAAGAGTGAATAAAGAGGCACTCCAACGCGGGTTGCCATCTGACCGTCTGCAACATCAACCTGAGATGCAGAACTTGCAGTTCGTGGCCCATACTTGGCAGGCTCCGAATGACAAGAAACTATTGCTTACACTGTGGCCAAGTATACGGCTTATGCCAGAAGTGTATGATTCCTTTCCATCAAGAATCTAGATACCAAGCTACCCATGTCCTTGGTGTAGAACATATACGTGCACATGGGTTCCTACTCAACTAGGGTCGATGTGTGTTGGTGGAGAGGCAAAATATCTGAGCATGGGCATCTATATCCAAGACTTATTTATGGCTTGCATTATCGGTAATGTGCCGGTCTACTGGTAACAAGTGATTTATCCTAAGGTATGTGTTTTCGGGACTCTGATTGCATGAACAGCCTCAGGGACTTGATCCAACTTGCTAGCCAATGATTTCAATGCTCAACACTCGCCAGCTTCATACCGCCAGTTCACTCTTTTACACCAGCTACAGCCGGACACATGTGAACTCCTATCCAGGACTATGAATTCATATTGCTTATTTCTTTCCCACGTCGGACCGACATGCTCTGAAACCAAGCTAGGCACAATTGTAGGCTCAACCTATGGCCAGAAGGTGTCGGCCGACCAACCTTACCACCAACCACGCCTCAGCCAGCTCGTAACTCGGAGGACTCGACGATCAGGGGCAAGAACAAGCCGCTACCTCCACTTCTAAAGAACAATTAGGGGCGATACAGGTCTGAATTATGGTGGAGTATTTCCCCGCTCTCTATGCCACGACTGTAAATATAGGATGGGCCGGCGGATAGAGACTGAGTGTACAGATTTCTGGCAAGGGGTTATTTTGTGAGAGTATGCGTGATAGATACTGTTTGTTATTTCATTGTTGGTGTTTTCCTCTTGTGATAGAGAAAATTTCAGAATCATAGTCCGGATAAGCAGAATGAAACAATATCACTCTGGGCCTTGCTGGGTCCTCTCTACGCGTTTACACCTAGATGAGGCGTAGGAAGGCAGAGATTGGACTCCATGCCCCATCACATCAAGGCAAATTTACACCATTGGATTGGAGAGAGAGAAAGAGGTAATATTCATTTATCTGCTCAGTATGACTTCCCGAACCCACCAGCCACGGGACTGTGAATGTTATATCCATCAGGCACTGACTGGTCTGAGAGTTGACGAGCTAGCCAAACCAGCGCTCTCACCCCAAAATAATTTTTTCCTTGATTTTTTCTTTCATTCCACATCCTCGGGTCCCCCCTGGACCCCTGCCATCAATCAATTCATCATCCCCTCGTTCCATCCATTCGACAGCTGTCGATAACCCGATGCTACATGCAACCACCTCTAACGTGACTCTTGTCCAGAGCCCACGCCTGAAATATTGTAAGTTAACTGTTCGAGATATGACCACTGCTGGAAGCAAGTCACCCCCGCTTCCCCAAAAAGTATCTGCTTTGCGCGTGTGTGTCGCTGCATGCCAAGCAGGAACACATATTTTGTGTGCGTATGAGACGTTCCTCATCATAGGTATCAGAACCGTTTACTATTCGCCCCACTTCCAAACAAAAGGAAAAGAAAACCCCTTGACACCAAGCGTCTCGCGTCCGCAGTTTCCATGTCCTCTCCACACCAGGTGAGCAGCAAGATCATGGATGAGCGTCGAGCCAATAAACGTCAGAACACCCGCACTCCTCATCAGCTCCAGTGTTCTCTAGTCGACAGCCACCCAGCAACTATCGCTTGAAAATGCTCCGGCCGCTAGAATAAAAGAAAGCCTCGCAGCCCTCAATGGCCCAACCAGAGGTCTGCTTACCCCTCTATGTCGTCATATGTAAAAGTCGTGAAGCAAAGGAAATAACATATATCGAAGCTTGAAGATGCCGAGGCTGGTCAGTTGAAAGACCATTCGCCAGCTTGTAGTGGTGCGTGGACATCCAAAGTATGTCCTGAATTCCGCCTCAATGCTGGTTTTTTTCTGGCCAATGTCGAGATATAAGAGAACCAGTCGGCCGTAGCGAACGAGTTTGCAAAGAAGGCAAGCACCGATACCTGTTCGCCGTTCCCATCCTTTCGCTCATAAGTGGGCGAATAATGTACAATCCAACAATGTAAAAAGAAGAAGAAAAATAACAATCGTACTGAGCCCGGTACAAAATTAATGCCAGTAAACAAACCCCAAAACACCATTCGCCTTTGCCATTCATGCAGGAATGAAGTATTAGGTTTGTATGTCACGTGGAGCACCTCGTCCCCGGCCACCTCCACCGCGACCTCGGTAGCCGCGACCTCGGCCACGGCCCCGTTGCTGGTTGAAATGTTGCGAGTGCCCATTTTGGTGGTTGGGTTGGCCCTGCCAAACACCCTGGGGTTGTTGCGAATGTTGTTGAGGAGATAGCCCTGGAAGTCTCTGGGTTTGCTGGGGCTGGCTTGATCGTGGAGGAAGGTTGGAAACGGGGCGGGGAATAGTGTCGGGGTTTTCGTAAACGTAGAGACTCTTATCAATGCTTGCAGGGATGGGCTGGATCTCGGTTCCGAGATCTCGTTCAATGTTGTAGAGATTGAAGCGATCATCCCAATTGATCAGGTTGATAGCCAGACCCAGGTGGCCGTATCGACCGGAACGACCGATACGGTGCAGATAAGTTTCGGCGTTCTTTGGGAAATCGAAGTTGATGACCACATTGACAGCCTGGATATCGATACCACGGGTAAGGAGATCAGAGCAAACCAAGTTTCGGCAGACGCCATTTCGGAAGTCATGGAAGACTCGGTTACGGGCTTGCTGTTGCATTCTCGCGTGACTGTAGAAGCAAGAGTAGCCTAGCTCGGTGATTTTCTTTGCAAGCAATTCTACACGGTTGGTGGAGTTGCAGAAAATGATAGATTGGTTGATCTGGAGCTTAGAGAAAAGAGTGTTGAGGCAGTGGACCTTCTGCTTTTCCTCAACGAAAGCATAGTATTGGGTGATACCGCGAAGGGTGAGTTCGTCCATGAGATTAATTTCGTAGGGGTTGGCCATGTTCCTGTCAGAGAAGTCCTTCACCGACAGCGGGAAGGTGGCAGAGAAAAGCATGACTTGGCGATCTTTGGGGTGGAATTGCAATAGTTGTTCAATAACGGGGGTGAATTCACTCGAGAGGAGCTTATCGGCTTCATCCATGACGAACATGGGGCATTCACTCAGATCGGCAACATTCTTTCCTGCCAAATCGAGAATTCTACCCGGGGTTCCGACCACAATATGGACGGGATCCTGTAAACGGATGATGTCGTCTCGAAGGCCAGTACCGCCAGTTGTGACCATGACGTTTACGCCGAGGTGCTTGCCTAGAGTCTTGCATACCTGCGATGTTTGCATGGCAAGCTCACGTGTGGGGACGAGGATAAGTGCTTGGATCTTGGTCACTTTGGGGTTGATGCGTTCTAGGACGGGGATAACGAAAGCGGCCGTCTTTCCGGTGCCGTTCTTGGCTCTGGCGAGGATATCGCGGCCCGTCAGGGCCACAGGAATAGCTTCTTCTTGAATGGGGGAGGGCTTTTCGAACCCGGCTTCGAAAATACCCATCAACAAGTCTCGCTTTAGCGCAAAGTTTTCGAATTCGAGGCCTTTTGTGTTCGTGACATCCTGTGTTGAGAAAGTGCCTCGTCAGCTAATGCTCATTTGTGGCGGGGAAGAGGCAGGAGAGAAGGCCAGGGAAGGCGAGAGACTCACCTCAGTTTGGTGCCTAGTATCCTTGGCGGGAAGGTTCAAATTTTGTTTCCAGTTATCGCTCCCAGCATTTGGCCCATCGCTGATGCAAATCACAGTCAGTTAATGTCAGAACCCTCGAGACACCGGGTACGTTTTGTGGTGCCGTACTTAAGTGAAGTGTTCTTCAGTTTATCTGCTAGCTGGTCGGACATTATGAGATGTGTGAGGCGGTGTAAAGTCCCCGCGAACTGTTACTGAGGGGACAAGTTTGGTATTATGTAGCGAGGAAGAATTGCTAGCAGCCGCGGGATTCTTCCCAGTCGTAGAATGGCCGTGGCAGTCGAGGGAATCCGTGCGTTGGTTTGCAGGGAGGAGGGAATCAGTAGTGGAAGTTGGTGGAAGAACGGCTTTTTCCTGGATCGCGAATTTGTGGTCGTGAATGTGTCGTCGTTGGCGCGGCGCAAGGGCCTAGAGTCGTGTGGTTGAGCGCTGGGAGTGAAGATCTCGTGAAGGTAAGTGGATTTGGAGTGGGTTGAGGGTAGTAAACTTGTGTGTGATCAGTGGACTTGGAACCAGGATGGAGGAGCTTTCTCTCTAAAATCGATTCTGGTCGCTGATTGGTCAGGGCTGCTCCATCAAGGTTGACATGTTTGGAGGTCTGTGCGCTGCGTTACCCGAAAGCACTCAGGCAGCCCAATCCCTCTTGGTCACGTGTGCATGGGGCTCTTTAGTGAACAGCACAGGCATATTGATTGGGACCTCCCAGCTGCCAAGCCGCGGACGATTGATACCCAGGCCCAGACCAATGCAGACTGGAAAGTAATATTGATGTCTCTCATTTTCCCCATTCTAGATGTGAAGATAGCTGAATGTCCCCAATAAACTCCTGCTTACTCATACACCCCTGCCCACTCCACCTATAGCTTCATTCCCATCGCTTTGGCCACCCTCAAGCTCTGCCTCATGCTCAGGTCCAGCATGATCTCCTCGCTGCCTCCAGGGATGGCGTAAGCCCTGACATCTCTATACAGCCTTTCCACCTTACCACCCTGGCCACCACGAGAGTAGCTCAGGCCTCCAAAGATCTGACTAGCCTCCCGCGCACAAAACTCAAAGGTGAGTGTGGACTGTGCTTTGAGGCTGGCAATGGGTCCACCGAGACGCAGCATGGCCTCTGTCTCACCCATCTTCTCGCACTGGTAGACGAGGTTCTCAAGCCAGCTGTATGAGGCCTCAATCTGGCGAGCCATGTGCGCGAGCTTCATCCGGATGACAGGATGCTCGATAAGCTTCTTACCAAATGTACGGCGCTTGTTGGCGTACTTGACTGACTCCTCGTAACACACGCGCGCGAAGCGCAGGCTCTGGATGATGATGCCAATACGCTCATGATTGAAGTTGGTCATGATGACTAAGAGGTAGAGTTGTTAGTTTTCTAGTCTTAAAGAACTGGTGAACTCTTTGGGTTGCACACGTACCTCGGAATCCCTGGTTTTGCTTGCCAAGCAAGTTTTCAACAGGAACCTTGACATCCTCGAATGTGATATAGGTTGTGCCACTCGACCAGACACCCTGGCAGTCCATCCTACGAGTGCTAACTCCCTCGGTGCGTTCAATAAGCAGCAGACTGACACCGTTCATACCAGGCCCTCCAGTTCGCACAGCGGTGGTGAAGTAATCAGACCAGATACCGTTGGTGATCCACTTCTTCTCGCCATTGACGATGAAGTGCTTTCCATCTTCGCTGAGCTTCGCCTCACAGGTCAGATTGGCAACATCGCTGCCGGCATCAGGCTCGGTAATGGCCAAGCAAATACGCTTATCGCCGCTGAGGATGCCTGGCATGACACGATCCTTGAGGGCCTTGGAGCCGAACTTCATCACAGGCGGGCACCCAATGCCAAAGCCACCAATCAAGTTCCAGACAAAGCCACCAGAGCCAGTCCGGGAGAGCTCATCGGTGATCAGAACCTCATGGAATAGATCCCACTTCTCCACGGGCACACATGCAGGGGCTTGGGCGTACTCTGTGGGATACTTGACTCCTAACAGACCGCCGAGATAGCCACGACGGCCCATTTCCTTGTAAATCTCCTCCGGCACACGCTTGGCCTCGTCCCACTCTGTGACATTAGGCTCAATCTCGTTCTCGATCCATTCACGGACCTCAGCCCGTAGAGCAGCGTGTGTCTCGTTGAAGTAAGGTGAATGGTACTATAATTCAGTCAGTCATCATGAGTGTGCAGAGACAAGAGGGGATCGGGGTACTGACGCCTTGGTACCAGTTGGGATCGGCGAAGGGAATCTGCTGGCCAAAGGGCTCGAGGGGCTCTGCGGGTTCTTCGCTGCTTGGCTCCTCCTTCTTTACAGCCTTGACAGCGGGTGGTGCTGGCTTGGGGGCTGGAGCAGGTGGTTCTGCCTTGGGCTCAGACTTGGGCTTTGTGTCGAGGGATCCGACCTGGAGCTTCCCCTTGTATTTCTTTAGAATGCCTTCGTTGTGGTACTTCCAGAATGCCTTGGAGGCATCCTTGCCTGCGACGCGCTGGAGGATTTTCTTGCCGCCTGTTTGGGGCATACCAGTTAGTATATAGTATTACTGGACAAAATCCCAGGCAAGACACGGTCACGGGGCGAGTATCCCCATTCATTCATTGCATTTGGCACTTACCTGGATGGTCATCCTGGAATTTGGTGAGATCGTAGACATCGCCATCAATAATAGTGTATAGGTTGTCAGCCTTGTTGTGCGACGCAACGTCGGCAGCAGTGAATACTTTAGACATGGCGACGAAGTGGATGATGTGGAGGCACGATTAAGGGGGTTAACGGGAAGAGATGCAAAGGAGAGTTCAACAGAGGCAAGTTTAAACGAACATAGGACATCCTCCGTTATTTTTGTAGGAGGCCGGCGACTGGACAAGATTCCCGTCGGCAAATCTGACAATCACATGCCTAGGCCACTTCACAAAGGAGCCGTCAACAGTCGGTGCTTTGTACCTACATTCCACCCCCACAATGGAAGAAGCCCCAGACTTTTCCCTCTGGGGCCCTCTGGGGCATTCCCAAGAACCCGCAATGGCCACGGCTGGCCCTGTCATGGGATGGGCTCAAGCAGCGGCTGCTGATGGTCATGTGTTGTGCGAGGCCCAGGTCGTCCTCGCACACTGCCGCGTTTGGACTTTGCATGTGAAATGCGCTGTTGCCACATGCGGTACAAGGATCGGGCGGAAGACATGCAAGGGTCCAGACTCCAGATTCCAGACTCCGGGCAAGCAGCGAACGGCGCTTGAGGTGATGTCATGAAAGCGTGCCGTATTAGGGACTTCCAACTTTGGCGCAGAGTATGTTTCTGTGGAGATGCCGAGGCCCAGCTTATCAGCTACCCAATAGTGGCCTCAGTATTGCCAAGCGCTTGTCCACCACGGAGCAAGCCCCAACGTTTGGGAAACAGTAAAATTGCGCTCTGAGCAGCGATCAAATGATCCGACACGCAATTTACCGCTGCCGTTTGACCATGGTCAACAGAGGGACAAATTATTTGAGTCAGCAACTCCCTGCCTAGCAACACGCTACCAACTCCGCTAGATATTCGAGCAGTATCATGGAAAAGTAGAGGAATTCATCATATAATGTCAGATAGTGTATAAATCAGGCAACTTTGTCATTAGGTAGACTCCAAAACACCCGTCCGGCCAAACCCTAGCCTCATCCCGAGAATCAAGCAATATGCACCGCCGAGCGAGGCCTCCCGACAGATAGGCATGAGCTCTGCTAAGCAGGGCATGTCAACGTCAATAATAAACCGTTTTCCATCATCATCCCAGTATCATTCTCATACAGCCGCTCTCGGCTTCGATTTGGCGGCCGCCTTGTCCTTCTTATCTTGCTTTTGCTTCTTCTTCTTCTCTTCCTGCTGAGCATCCAACTTGCGCTTGTGTGCTGCCTTCTCAGCATCTGTCTTTGGAACAGGCTTGAAGAAACCCTCTAACCGTGCCTGCTGCGAGCTCTTCAGGTTTTTCTCCAGTCTTGCACCCGCGCTTCGCACCCGGTCTTCTGAGAATCCCTTCTCAGTCACAAGAAAATGAACAAGACCCTCCATATCAGGCTTCTCCCACTTGAAATCGCAATCGGCATGGTCAGCCTTTCGAACATCCGGCTCTAAGAACAAGTCCCGCGCATCCCGGAATGGCCAATCATCAGGGATCGTGTATTTCTTCTTTGGGTCATTTTGCATGGCATCGACGACTTTTTCGAGAGACCCATGTTCGCGGATGAGCTTGAGAGCGGTGGATGGTCCAACCTTGGGAATTGGATCGAGATAGTCGCACCCCAAAAGGATACAGAGATCGATGAACTAATCCGAAAGTGTCAATAACCCCGCCAAATCACATAAAATCATTGTACTAGAATGCCGCGCTTACCTGGTTTCTCTCCATGTTCAGGCCCTCAAGGACCTTATCAAGACGGATTTCTTGAATAGGCTCCTTTCTTTGCTCACTGAAAGTAAGGTGGCGTAATAGGATTGGTGTGTCAAAGCAAAGGGTATCCATATCCTCGCTGGCAGCGGCGTAAACCTTGCCGGCCCTCGCAAGCACGGCGCATTGCGCCTCAGCCTCCGTGGGTGCAATGATGTAGGGGATACCCATGAGCTTTAAGAGCCGCTGGCACTCGGCATTGTGCTCTCGGGTCACGCGCACCGTCCGTCTCGAGAACTTCTCAACATCTTCAGCCGTTCCGGTCTCCTTTGCCTCCTCAAGACCCTCGGTGGCCTCTTGCTTGCGTTGGAAACGTTTGGCTAATTCTCCGGATTTGAGCTTGGGAGGAGCACCGTCGAAAACGTACAGAGGCTTGATACCGTTGTCGACCATACGAAGTGTGCGGTAGAACATGCCCATAAGATGCGAGGTGGTCTCCCCGGTGTCATTCATCAGCTGCTGGCCGTCAGATCGGACAGCAATGAGAAAGCTGTAGATGCTCATCGAGGCATCCTATCCCAAACGATTAGCTCCCCGTAATAGCGTGCGATGGACCCAGTGGTGCTGTGCTTACAATCGCGACCTTGCGGCCGAACTGATTCTTGATCTCGCCTTCCTTGATAGAATCCGGAGCCTCATCTTTGATGATGGAGAAGAGCTGTTTAATACCCATGGTGACAATTCGCCAGTTGAGGCAGGAAGACCTTCTGGTGGCTCGCTCACAAAGCGCGGGGAAGAAACTTGAAAACGGCGGTCGGGTGGGAGTTGAAATGGTGTGGATGGGGTCTACTGAGAGGAATCTCAGTCAGAGTGCAGGCGACGATTTTATTACATTCAGACAGACCGTGGAAGGACGCGGATCTGCACGAGAGACGCGCCGAAATTGATGACGCGCCCTTTCCGTGTTTAATTGAATATGCCCCACCTTTCAACTGAGGTAAGCCATCTGCTTCGCATATAAGACAACCACCAGAACGTGAAAGCAAAGTGACTATATAAGTTGAGAAGGAAATAGCAGATGAAGATCACTGTATTGATCAGCTAGCAAACAAAAGCATTGCTATGAATATGTGTATATATGCATGTCCCGATGTGCCAATGCCCTCTCAACCAAGTATTTTACGCTAACCGACCATCCAATCCGAATGCCTTCCTCGACCACTCCAAGAGCAGCTCCAGCAGAGGTTTGATGGACAGTATCAAGGCATAGTCAGGATCAGTTACTAAGGCATTGGCTCAATAGTTGTCGGCATAAATCCCCAACCCTTCCCTCCTCTTACATAATATCGGGTGGTGTTTAATCTACCGCTCGGAATACAAAGCAGTCAAGGATGGTTCTCGCCTTGCGCTTCACCTTGCCGTGCGGAATTGAAAGGGGGGGAAGTTAAGAAGAAGCCATGGAAGGAAAATGGGTAGGCTGGGGAGGTTCATCGAGGTGAGAATTCGCAGGCACTTCATCGACGACTAGAGGCAAAAGCGAACAATTGGGCCGTCAATCACGCTCATTTTGTGGGTATCGTACATTTTGTTTGACCACTCCTAAGATTGTCAGTCATTAAATTGCAACTTGTGTTAGTCCTCTCCAAAAAGAGCCTTCTTTTTCCCCACCCCTCGGCTGCCGTCCATGTTTTCCAGCGCTTTATCAATTCCCATTATATCGAGCATCTCGACCTCGACATCTCGATTTAAATCAGTGGTTGTATCAGCTGCATCGTTCAAAGTATTCATGAAGTCAAATCCAGCTCCCGGTTGAGGAAGCGGTTTCGTCTCATTCGCATCCGCAATGGAATCATCGTCGTAGTTGCCTTCCTCGTTAGCAAACGATGGATTGAATCGCAGCGAGCCAGGCTTAGCTCGGCTCAGATTAAACGTGACCGTACTAGGCCTGGCATTTCCGTGCACGATAATAGCACTGGGTTGGTCAGCCTTCGAAAACAGCCGCTTCCCCTTGGTGATAGGACCTCCAAGTTTTCCAGAAGAGCTGGCCTGAAAATCACGAACGACAATCAGCCGGGTCTCACCACGAATAAGAACATCCACGGGCGACTGCTCGCCACTGTTTGTACCATCGGTCTTCTTGGAAACATCAGTGAGAAGTGTGACGCCACAGCATCTCTCGCCTAATAGACTCGCGGAAAGCTCTTGAATCTTAATCAGTCGCGAGCTATGAGTACCCGTGAATAAGCCGTTCCCTCCGCTGCTTGTCTTCCGTGCCTGGGTTTCCCAGAATCGCAAGACTTGAGAAATCACACAGACATGATCTTGTCCGCCGAGCCAAAGTGCCAATGTTTCGTCTAACAATGCTTGGCCAGGGGCTGGAAGTGGCAAGACCTTGACACCGCCATGGATCGTTGATAGGCGATCAGGGGTTGCTGCTAAACCGAGATTGCTAGTAGCTTGGCGACGAGAGTGGGGTGTCATGGGCGCAAACTCCCCTGTGTTAGTCTCCTTGTGTTGTGAAGCCACGCTCCGGAGGGAACTTGTTCCTTCGATATATCCCGACACGCTAAATGCGGTCAATGCAGCCCCTCGAACACCGCTTTGTAGCTTTGTGGACATTGCCGAAGCAGAAGAAGCTGGATCAGCCCCATCGATGTCCCAGATGCCCCACATCCCATCAGCCAACAGGGCGAAGACGGCTTTTCCGTGAGCTATCCAGGCAGCATCAACGATAGGCTTCCTCAGGGTTGAAGGCCTGATGAATGGCTGGTATAACGTGACGAGCCACGACCCTTGTGGAGGGAAGGGACCAGTCGCCTCGGGGTCTGGGGGAAGAGAAGGTAAGGCGTAATCGTATATGCGTACACCATGTGAAGGCGCTACTGTAAGAAGCTGGGTACTATGGCTTGGGTTAAAAGAAACACTTCTAAGAGGAGTTGGTAGAAATTCTGTCTGGAAGGGTTCGACAGACGCCTCTGGTTTAAGCTTTTGGTCCAAAGCAACTTCCCAGAGACGCAGTACTCCAGATGCTTCACGGGAATGAGAGGCAACCACAACTCGATTAATGCTGACTGCGCGGTCAGACAGCCCAGACGGTACGAGGCCAATAGCCAATCCATCACTCGGTTTCGACTGGCCACTGAGTAAAGTGATCGACTCTCCCCATGCGCCGGTGCCAGCCTTGCTCGCAAATAAACTGTTTCTTAACTCGGGCCTTGCTTTTGCGGCAGGAGATGGCGGTGTGAGTGGCAGGGTGATTAAATAGATATCATTCGTGACGCATGAAACGGCGAACACTATTTTATGCCCAAGAATAGCAACCCGACCGTTCTCAGTGTCCTGAGCCGACTTAGGGGAAAGTGGCATTACCGCCACGTCAAGGACGGCAGCGCCGAGGACCAGATCCAGTGTCTGAATTACTTCTGGGTAGGGCGTTGCTTCGGCCTGGTCTTCAAACTCAGGCTTGTCTTCGAATTTGATTTTGGCTTCGGCTTTGGCAGCTGGTTGATCGTCGTCCGAGTCGATCACCATCACGGCATCTTCTGAGGACCCATTGGGCTTCTCATTCAAAGGCGCCGTCTGAGTCGCCTTGAACCGCTTGCCGCCCCGCCAGACCAATGTTACACCGCTGTCATGGCCATAGATGAAAATGTTGGCTCCCTGGGGAGACTGTATCGGGTATGGTTGAACATCGTTGAGTCGACGGGAAAGCTCATATCTACACTCTGGTTAGCGACATCAGCCGGCAGAAACAAAACGCTGTCCTTGGTTCCTTACGTGACTTGAGTATTCTGCCCAGTACGGCGAAGCCTCGGAGTCTTCAGACCCAACATTTTAGATCTAACGAAGTAGCGGAGGGTCCAAGATTGTCCGGAAAGTTCGTTGGCCTCTGAAACGAGCGGACACAATCTTGAATGCTTCTGAATTTACTTCATGAGTGATAAGATAAACAAAGCGAACTGAATGGCCAAGGTAACGAAACGCGCCTAACTGGAGGAGAAACGCGCCCAGGCACCGAGCTAGCGACTGTCGCAACTATTTCTTCAGGTCACGTGAGTCGGATCAAACAAGCATGTACGCCGCAGAAGATATGTCTAATCACGTTATTAACGCTGGCATCAACTCGATGTTGTATCGCCAATGCGGTTCTTATCAATACGACATATCTCATTGAGGATTCTCCCAAGGAATGAAAGCATGAGTATTAGTTTATTTTGAAACAAGGTCTATAGTACCAGCCAAACGCCAAGTGAAGGAACATGCTTTTGCTTTTTAGGAGCGGGAAAATCAAGACGAGAACAAACAGAGGATAATGCCCAAGAAGATCTACACACGGATGACATAGGGTTGAGGTGTCAAGTGCGGATAGTCCAGCATTATGTTAGAAGTAGTGGTGAATAAGATTCGCGCGACGTTCAGAAGCCAGGATGTGAAACGTGTTGGTTGATTGTTGCGCGGAATCTAGGTAGTACATACACAGAGCCCTCCACGCTCGATAAAAAAAAAAAAAGACAGAGTCACAAGACTAAAGTAATCGACCAAGTTTGTATGATTTTGCCAGCCATTGCTTGGGGTCTCACCCATGATATTTGGATACCCCAAAACACGTGTCCGTCTTCATCTCCGATGAGAGTCAAGCGACCTCGTATTTGCAGCGATATCGTAGCACGCCTGAAGGGAGAGGTGATGATATCCCCGTCAGATAGTAAGGAACGCGCTCAGCTACCGCAAGATCCCAGGAGATGGGATTCTCGGAGAGCTGGATCCAACGGATCTTTGCATGAAACCCAGTTTTTGATGGTTAACAACCAAGTGTAAGGAGCGGATGGCATAGAGGTAATCGACAAGTGTGTAGTGCAGTGTCAAATCCAGTCGCTCCCAAGTCGAATGAAGATTTACCCCTACGCCGTGTGTAATAGTCAACAACCACCATTTCGTCGAAACTATCGACAAGCGGATGAACGCGAGCTGCCATTCCGAAAACGCCGTTGATGCCAGTGATGGGAAGTGATTGAACTGTATACTTAGATATAGGACTAAATGAAAGGAAAGAGGAAAATTCGTGCTTCGTTAACAGGGTTACCGCTCATGCGTTGGTCACCTAAAACTGATCAGTATAACCCAAAGGCTGCATTTCTTCATGTCAAAGAACTCACCCTGAGAATCTTCCGGGAGTAGTCCTCATTGTCGGCAATACTGCCGTCACTTAGCCGGTGGGCCTTGATAGGGTCCAGGCGAGAGTCAGTCATAGAGATACTGCCAGCGCTGCTTCCTGGAGGCTTGGAGCCGCTAATAAAGGCATTGACAGCGGCATTTCGACGATACTCTTCCTCTATCTCTGAGTTGCGTCTTCGTCGCATGAAGAAAAACAGTCCACCCACAATGGCACAAATGACGACCACACCAGCAACCACGCCACCGATGATTGCTCCGAGATTGCTGCTTGATTTCTTTTCGTCGCTACCCGAAGTTTCTGTTGTTGCAGGGTCGCCAGTTGAACTTGGCTTGCCAGCCGTCGTGCTGGTCGCAGCAGGGACAGAGCTACTACTCGATGTCTCTACCTTTTCGTAGTAAGGAATGGAGATTTTGTCACCAGTGTTCCAGATTGACCATGCTGTAGCATCGAGGTTACCACAAGCCTCCAGAGGGTAGGCCTGGCATTCTTGGTTACAAGCCGAGTCGTCCGTGAGATCGCTTTTGGCGGGATATAGATTTCCGCACTTGCATTGAACACCGCCACCCAAAGCGAAGACTGGAAAGCTCTTTGCTTGACAAGCCTCCCTACACCCGCCTGAAGAAACTTTGGTTTCTTCAAGTCCGCTATCTGTCATGTTTCCATATGACTTGTAGCATCCCTGCGATGTCGGTGTTCCTAACTTGGCGTTCTCCTTGGGTGCTTGTGTAGGCTTGGTTCCGCTGGCTGCGGCCGTGGCCGTGGCTGCAACTGCCGTTCCCATCAATTGGGAAACGGCAGTCAGAAAGACGACAAAAGCTGTGGTTGACTTCATCTTCCTTCAAGGCTTATTGTAACTGCTCTATATCTGGTTTGGTCGACGCTGAAAACACAATGCTGCTGATTGCAAAGACAAATCTCCCGGAATCGTCAAGCTCCACCAGGAAGGCCTTGAACGATGTCGGAGAATTCGGCGTTTGGTGCAACAAATCGGATATTTCGAGAGGTCGAGAGAATACCGGAGTAAGTTTGTAGAAGTTGGGCGATGCGTGAATGGGCTTCGGCGGTCGAAGTGTACCTCCTGTCCCGGATGGTGACCCAATCGCGCTTGGACACGGGTATCAATCAGGACCTCGCAAAACAACAGAGCATCTGCTCCCGATAAAATCGTCTTTGTCGTCGAATATCAGTGGGCTTGGTGCATGAGTGAAAAAGAGGGACTAGAACGAACGACAAGTAGAGAACAAGAGAGGGTATTGGGTGATGGTGTCTATTTTGGAAAGGGGAAAGCAGAGGAGAGGCCAGGGCAGAAGAAGGAGAGGGAGAGAGGAGGAAGAAGGGGCAGGCCTGGGTGGGGCGTGTGCCTGGGAGTGGGTGAGGGAAGACACAGTGGGCTAGCTTCTTGGTTGGGGGATGTCATGCACTGCACCGAACAAACGGAGGGAGCAGGCGACGCGAAGCAGGATTGAGGGAGAGAGGGAAATTTTGTTAGTGCCTGGCCCTGGCCGTGCCGCGCTGGCATCAATCAAGGACCAGGCCTCAGCTCCAGGTACATCGACCACTAAACAGCTGCCAGCGTACCCGTACGTTCCAGTACGAGGCCCAATCCCCTCACCAGCCGGGTACGTACCACGCTGTCTGGCTCAGTCTGTAACACGCCGCGGCCTGTGCACAGAAACCTCTGGCACTGGTTGCTTTTTGCACTGATTTCCTGGCATCGTGCTCGTGTCAGGAGCCCCTGGTGATGCCTCGATCCTGGTTCCGCTCCACACCTCCCTGTCGCGACCCGCTCCACCGCACGCCTCGTCAGCCAATGTTGGCGCTATGACTGGAATTCAAGGCACTTATTGGTGCAACCCCTGACGACCAGCCCCCGCTGTAGGAACAGGGAACGCCGCGCCAGCACCTCAGGAACAAGCCTCTTGCTGCCAGGGGCACATCCACCCACCAACACTCGCTCTGTCACTGCTGCAGAGAGGTGGGAACCCGGCCTCGGTGCAGGTACCAAGGACCGCAAGCTTGCCAACCGGTGGCTTGCTCCTCTTGGGTAACTGCTATTCTAACCACTACGTTTCAACCAACGCCCCACCGCAATTAAACGCTTGCGACCCCCCATCACAATTCACTTTGTCTTGCATAACATTCATTACGTTGTGCAACCGTCTTCTTCATCACTTCGTTCCTGCAGTGCCTACATTGAAATTGAGATTCGACATCTCAAAATAGAAAATCTCGGTTGCTTCGTAGTGTTCACTGTCCAACAATGCGCGTTCAGAGGATACTCGGGCGGACGATATTTCAAACGGGTACGCGGTGCCGCACAACTATTCCGGCACTCCTCCGCCAGATAATGTTTGTTTTTAATGCAGAAGCGGTAGCCACAATCCCTCCAGCTGATCCGATTGCTCCGCCACAGGTCGGTCCATCCTTTCTCATCAAGGAATTTCCCTGCCACGGCATATGGTGCGCTAGTGTGTAAACTCAGCCGGCCCATGCATCTCTCATACAGTAATAACTATTAGAGGATGAAGTGATTGCCATGCATAGTACGTCGAATGCGTAAGCCGTGTCCCCAATACGAAGCTTGTTGGGTCGGGCACGTTTGTGCATGCATTGCTTGTTGGACTGTAATCGAGGCTTGCTTCGCACAGGGCGGAATCTCGAGATTCTGTTTCAACAGGCCAGAGCCATGCCTGATGAACGGGAGGTGATAATACTCGAGATCTGATCGGGGGTGCCGACGATGCTCGAGATTTCCACTCGACTGGGGCCTTAATACGTCCCGCACCTACAAACTGAAGCCGAGACGGGACGAATTTGCCCCAACTGGTGGCGGAACGCAGAGGAGGCATGCTACACTCGGTGCGCGGAGGATGAACACGCCATCTTATTACTTCCCATTCTAGGTAGCTCCTATTGCATATTACAAGGTCTCCTTCGTGGTAAGCTTTCGATTAATAATGCCACCCGCTGCCTCCGGGGGTGATGAATTATTATCTACTCCGTACCTCTGGGTAGGCTAGAGGCGAAGCTTCACCACACAGACATAAGCCCACCACCCTGCCAGGGCTTCGTCTCGGGCCCTTGATAATGACCAATCCTCATCATTCAGAAACCAACGGTTCGGCCATTTTACTTTCGGTTGTCCACTCTTCGTGAGCCGCCTAATTAATGTTTAGGGGCATCCTCTGTTGCTTGGCCTACCCTCTGTCATCATAGCCTCGATTGGTTACCAGAGCATAGTTATGCGTATTTCTGTATGCCAACCTATCGTCCAATGCAGCTAGGCCCGTTGTTTTGGAATCCTCCAGGGTCAGTGAAAGATATTACTGCAAGCCTGTATCGCACGTAATCAATCTGTCGCCCTTCACACAGGAAGTGGGCAGTGACACCCTCTTCTGTGTGTTCGTGGACGACCGGGCTACCCGGGAGTTGTATTGTGTGCTTCCAGTCTTGATAAGGGCGCTCGTTCTTGATCGCCAGTACTCCGTAGAGGTATATATGCATTGGGCAGGCGGCAATACGTTACCGGGTATTGGCCTTGCTGTATGACACGGCTACCATCAATGCATGGCGTTACATCGAAGACCATCTCGGCTCCAAGAGTCAGGAAGTGAGATACCCAATCGCCGATGTTTCGCCCAAGCAACAGTCGTTAGATCTATTACTCGTAGTGTGTGATATCCTGTGTTGAATTGTTTCCCTTGTTCGCATTATATATCCCCCACCAATCAACCTCACCTCGAGCTTAGAGTTCTGGACCAATCCCTACCTGGGGGGTTCTTGCGGGATGTTTGCCTCGATGCGCCTGTTTCATGGTAGTGTGTGAAGATCAGTAGAGAGGCCAGGGCGGTTCGCATTTGAAACCGCATTTTGAGCCGTTACTCACCCGACACATGACGAGCATCACACTAGCTCGTGGTCTGGTTCATTGTCGCAAATATTGCTGGTTATATGATCCACTGACATTCGTTGATTGCTATTGAATATTGGGGGCAAGTCGGCTATCATACGGTGTAAGACATTCATGACTAGCTCGCGGCTATTGCTAAGCGGTATACAGAGTTGTCCGCAACCGGCCAGTTTCTCTGGGTTAATGCTGTTCGTAATCACGGTAGATTGGATTGTACATTCCGCTACCAAAAAGCAATGGCGCAAAAAAGCAACCGGGTGGTAGCTAAAGTCAATGTTACAGAACATCTACCTAGGTAATTGTTTATCAAAAGGTGTCTTGAGGGTGTAGTACAGGGTGAGCGGATTTGCGGAGAGCAAGCCAAGCCAGAGCTCAGGTGTGCGTCATCAGTAGCAACAGGCAATGGAGTGGCGGAATGAGCACGAGACACAACTAGCTCAGCTCAACCTACCCACGCCACCCAGCCAACCACCCAGCCATCAGCAGGCCTCGGCGCTAGCACGTCACTGTTGTGGTCGCCTACCTGCCTTATCTAACCGCGGGCCCAGGCAGCTCCCCCAACCTTCGCTGCGACTTAGCGAACCTACCTGAGAATCCCGATTCTTCCCTCATCAACAACAGGCTCCGAGATCCTGTTATTCGTCGAACCATCACACAAACCGGCGTTTTCCATCACCTCGTCGAGCTATACACCTTCTTGAGTATTGCCTCTCACATCATGAAGAGCACTCTCCTTGCCGCCGCCGCTCTGCTCGGCTCCGCCCAGGCTGGCGTGCACAAGCTGAAGCTCCAGAAGCACTCTCTTGCTGAGCAACTGGTATGTGTCGATATGAGCGGCCTCTTTCTTCAGGTCGCCCACACCATAAGATCGAAAGCTCCCACTGACATTGATCCATCCATAGGCTGCCCACAGCATCGAGGAACATGTCCAGGCTGTTGGCCAGAAGTACCTGGGATCGCGCCCTGAATCCCGAGCTGATGCCGTCTTCAGCACCAACGTTCCTAAGTCCGATGGCATCCACCCTGTGCCTGTCACCAACTTTATGAATGCGCAGTGTAAGCAACAATATCGTGCGCTGTTACACTTGACAAGACAGTGAAGCTCATGAATGCATTATTAGACTTCTCCGAGATCTCCATCGGTACTCCTCCTCAGACCTTCAAGGTCGTTCTCGATACCGGTAGCTCGAACCTCTGGGTTCCTTCCCAGAGCTGCAACAGCATTGCTTGCTTCCTGCACTCCACATATGACTCCTCTAGCTCCCAGACATACAAGAAGAATGGGTCCGATTTCGAGATCCATTATGGATCTGGTAGCTTGACTGGGTTTATCTCCAATGACGTATTCACCATTGGCGACCTCCAGGTCAAGAACCAAGACTTCGCAGAGGCAACCGAGGAGCCTGGTCTGGCTTTCGCATTTGGCCGTTTTGATGGCATTCTTGGCCTTGGCTTTGATACCATCTCGGTCAACCACATCGTCCCTCCCTTCTACCAGTTGGTTAACCAGAAGCTCATTGACGAGCCTGTCTTTGCATTCTACCTGAGCTCAACCGATGAAGGCTCCGAGGCCGTCTTCGGAGGTGTTGACAAGAGCCACTACGAGGGCGAGATTGAGTATATTCCTCTGCGTCGCAAGGCTTACTGGGAGGTTGACCTTGATTCTATCGCCCTTGGCGACGAGGTGGCCGAGCTTGATGACACCGGTGTTATTCTTGACACTGGTACTTCTCTCAACATCCTGCCCAGCTCTCTCGCCGAGATGCTGAATGCTCAAATTGGAGCTAAGAAGGGATACAACGGCCAGTACACGATTGATTGCTCAAAGAAGCAGTCGCTTCCCGACATCACCTTTGACCTTGCTGGTTCCAAGTACAGCCTGCCTGCTTCTGACTACATCCTGGAGGTCTCTGGTAGCTGCA